TCGAGATCGATTAGGGTGGTCGAGGATCGTTCTCTTGTCGAAGAGAGTGTAGCGTTTGGTCAGGACCACGAAGAAGGGTCCTCGTGTTGTAACGCAGAGGCAGAACCAAGGAGAGAATCGGCCGTACGTGCGGTGGCTGTCTACACCGGTTATAAAATACGATGCCTTGGTAGGTTCTCAGCATGCTCGCGCCTCTCTGGCTTAAAGGACAACGCGCAGGACTCCCCCTTCTTATGTCCTCCCTTTCTATTATCCAGATATCGTTCTTACCACCTTCCTTTTTTCTTCTTTCTTTTCTATGATCTTCGTATTTTTAGTAATGCAAAAAAATCCGACAGTTTTACGAATTAAAACAATGATAAGATAAATTAATAAATTTCTTCTAATATACTTTTTCTATTATGACTATAAATAATCAAAAAAACATCGTCAACAATTATTTAATTTTTAATTATAATATAATTCTCTATGTAATAGCATAGCAAATTAACTCAGGTTGCTATCCAACATTTACAAATTGTCGTATGATAAAAGTAATCGTCGTGCCTTGCGAGTATGTTGATTTTTAAGCAGAAGAAATATTCCTCGAAGTATATCTCGTAAGAATGCCAAGGGTTTGACCAAAAAGAAAAAGAAGAAGAAAAAAAAGAAAAAGAAGAAGAAGAAGAAGAAGAAAAAGAAAAAGAAAAAGAAGAAGAAGAAGAAGAAGAAGAAGAAGAAGAAAAGGAAGGGAAAAAGAAAGAGAGAATAAAAAAAGAAAATGTCTTCTCACAGATCCCGAATTCAAGTCGAATGAAATCGTTGTGAGTTGGCCTTTAAGAGAAAAGGAGAAAGGGAAAAAGGGAGAAGTAAAAGGGAGAGAGATCCACGCCGCGGATTGTATTCCGCGTACACGCCGATTGAAATCGATATTCCTCGCAAGGTCGGCCGAAAACAAAACCATTGGAACAATGCGTCACGTGGTCCATGTTCACCGGGATATAGCAGGTAAGATTGCTCGCGATTTAATATACCCCTTGTGATCATGCGTAAAGGTATGCGATATATGTATGTACATTCGAGAGTCGAACTTGTACGTATGTGTGTGCCTCTCGAACTCGCAGATCCGGTGATGAAAAGATGAGGCAAACAGCTGAACGAGAGACAAGAATCGAAAGATCCTTAAGATCCATCGATCGAAATGGATAATATTGATTTGAAATTAAATGAAATTAAGAGAATTTTAAATGATATCTTTTATTAATGATAATTTACAACTTATATGAATCAATTTAAAATACAATCGGCAAAACTTACATTTTTCTTCTTATCTTCGTCCCTTCGAAAGCGTTCGTATTAGAAGAAAATAGACAAAGACATAAATGGAGCATCCGAATAGAAAGATAATACTAACGAGCAAAGAGAAAGAAAGAAAGAGAGAGAGAGAGAGAGAGAGAGAGAGAAGATTTTCAAGTGGAAAGAACGCAGCGTGATCTCATGTGGTAGAGCCCCTGGAAGCGGCTTCGAATTAGCTGGCCAGATCAGCACCGATACTGCTCGGCAGTAATTCATTAGCATGATTGTTTGGGTGGAGAGAGGAGACCGAAATTTCTTTCTTTTTCTCTTCCTCTTCCTTCTTCTTCTTCTTCTTCTTCTTCTTCTGCTTCTCCTGCTTCTTCTTCTTCTTCTTCTTCTTCTTCTTCTTCTTCTGCTTCTTCTTCTTCTTCTTCTTCTTCTTCTTCTTCTTCTTCTTTGCCACTACGGTCCTTACTCTTCGTCTAAGATCTTTTTTTTCTCTTTATCTTCGACCGAGAAAGAAAAAAAGAGAAAGACTCTCCTTCTCCTTTGGGAGGAGGTCTCGTGCACGAACCAACAAATTTCTCTTCTTCTGGCACCGCCTTTCCTCCTCTACCTTCTCCCCGGAGCTTCCTTTCTCGAGCACCGGCGTGTATCGGAGGCTGGGACCGAAGCAACGAAGAAGAAGAAGCAGAAGAAGAAGAAGAAGAAGAAGAAGAAGAAGTAGAAGAAGGCAGTGCCTTCTTCAAGGTGGCAACAGTGTTGGCGGGAAAGTTATTCGAGCGGCTACCACTAAATCATTCCTCGCGGACTCCTGCTTTATTATCTTCCGTCTCTCTTCCTCTCGCCTTCTCTTTGCCTTCTCTTTTTCGTTTCTTCGTACCTTTTGCCTCCGACTAGCGCCTACCGACCGCCTCCCGCGATATTCGCTCGATTCTTTCCTTTCAGTACCTTACTCCTTGCCGTACACGATACTCCCGTGTATACGCGTCTGTATGTGCATGGTCTGGGACTTATGCATATTTATGAAAAGGAAAAGGGAGTCTTTAATTTTATTATGTGTAAGCTGGAACTTTGAATCGAATCGAGAAATGTGTTGTCCGTTCCATGAAGATCGATCGATATGTCTAATAGCCGGAAATTAATACTTTTATCACAATTGCACGTTATAATTACTTTTTCTCGTTATTATATTTCGATATAATATATATATATATATATATATATATATATATATATATATATTGTATGCATTATATTTGGTAGATGTTATTTTTTTAAAAAGCTTTTTCTTTTTACTATTTTATTTGATACTAGAAGATGTAACTTTCGATCAGGTCGATCAAGACCTGAGTATACGTCGGGAACTACCGATCTATTTCAAATACAAAGAAAAATAAAAGGATATCAGCCAATTAAGAACCCTCAACGATCGTTATACGTATTCGGAAGAAACTTCTCTTTGATTCCGTTCGTCTTTCCTCTCTAAACAGTTGGTCCTCGAACCATTCTCCGACGAGCCTCTTCAGACTTTCGTATCTCGTTAGAATCCCAATCGTTTCTCGAAGAGAAGAATCAATAATTTCCCATGGTAAGGAAGAAAAGAATCTCGGTCGGCAATCGTTCCCTTTTCACAAAGTAATCGTTAGATTTATATGCTTTTGTCTTCGTCTATCTAAAGGGTTACCATTAGATCGCCCCACCCACGAGAGAGAAGAGACGCGAGAATTTTCTCGACGACGAACGGTCTCCTTAATTACGTCTCGAGATCGCAATCGCATTCTTTCCGCGCGCACCCTCTCGACGATTCTCACGCACCTAAGTTCCCTTAGCCGGAAAGTTCTTTAGTGCCATGTATAAGCCTTATTTCCCAAGTGTTCATTTCGAAACCTATGCGACTCATTACGGTTCGAGTTCCTCAAGAATATAATGTTATATCCATCGTTGATAATAATCCTCAAATCATTTTATATCGTATCTTTATCTATTTTCCATCTGATCAATTTCATACTAACGCAATATACAATCGAATCGAACAATTCAATGTTCATTATATCGACGATTGCATCGGTTAGTTTTCACTCTAGAAATAGATTGCCTTACGATAACTTAAAGCTTGAGTTGTTTTAATAAACACAATACTAACGTGTTGTCATTCCACAAGGAGTAGTACGACACTAAGATCAGTAAGAGTGGCGTAGTCGCCGAAGGAGTAGGACGTCCTTCGCGAAACAGGTTATCCTCACAATCGCATTCATTAGTAACTACCCCTCTTCCCCGGTAAATAACATTCTTCGATCCTCTACAACATTTTATCGTATCTCGTATCTACGTTCTCGAAACGTACCAAGAATATTTCTTTAAAAAGGAAAGTTCATCGGTCGAGATGTTTACTCGTTTGATTTCCTTTCGAACGTTTACATTTCTTTCTTTTTTTTCTTTTCATTTTTTTTCTTTCTCTCTCTCTCTCTCTCTCTCTCTCTCTCTCTCTTTCTCTCTCTTTTTTTTTTCTTCTTCTTTTTGTTTTCTTACCGATAAAAGGAAATATCTATCATAGGAGAAGGAGACCTCACGTCGCGATATTCCTATTTTCTCTTTGGATAGCTCGTAACGAAGTAATCGATCATCGACGTACGATCCCCGATCAGATCGAAAGAAAGCGATTCGATGCTCTCGTATCAACTCAGGGCGTATCCTGAGTACTCAAGAATATCGCAGTTAGATCGTACTAGCGATATCTCGAACGCGAGAAGAAACTTTAAACTGTCATTAAGGCGACTCGCTCAGGTTAAGGGGTTCATTACCGTTCAGCAACTTGTTTCTCTCTTCTATCTTTTATGTTACCTCTCCCACCCTTTTTCTCTGCGAGGCTCGATTTCTTCTACGTCGGCAGACGAGAGGACTACCACCGTCGTACAAATTACGTCTCGGTTGGATAAATTTACAGTCTCGTACATCGTACGTTTTCCTTTTAATCACACTTCGAATCGATTCTAATACTCTCAAACTAAGTAGATAATTCATCTATTTTTTTTTTCTTTTTTTTTTTTCTTTTTTTTTTTTAGATCACATCTTTATACTTTATGATCGATACAGATAATCGAATAAAGTTAGGAATAAGTTTATATAAAGGAACGATATGTAAATCTTATAATCGGGAAAGAAAGAAGTATGGATTTTCGTGAAATCAAAAGGATCTCTTCCATCGAATTTCTTCGAGTCGACGATGAATCCTCGCATAAATAAACGAGCGGTGGTGAACGCAACGGAGGCGTCCATCACCGCCTCCACGTCCGTCCAGTAACGTCTCGCGCGGTAGATACTTTTTTTTTTTTTTTGGGGGTAGGAAGACCGAAAGGAGCCACTCGCAAATTAGTCACCGGGTCCAGATTACGAATGGACCACCTCTCTGCAAGGGCCCTGTAGGTATCCCGTTTCAAGAACGTTAAGAGAAATTAAACGAAGTACTTCGACTCGAACGACTCCACCTTCGAAAGGTGGTTCCCGATGACACGGCTCTCTTCGTCATCTCTCATACTACTTTCTTTTGTCTCATCCCCTTCTCGTTGTTGTACGATGTATACTAAGGAAAAGAAAAGTCAGAGGAGGATTGGTAACATTTTACAACGCTATTAATTTACATTTATTTTAAATGATAGACTTCAATCGCGAATACTTTAATATTTATTACACCGGCTAATTCAATTTATTTTCTTTGATTTCAGGTACAAGCTACCGACCCGGATTGCGGAGTAAACGCGATGGTGAATTATACTTTGGCAGCCGGAAGATTGGAAAGCGAGTTGCTTCAAGCACGTAGTGATACCGGAGACATTTGCGTGAGAGCAATGCTCGACAGAGAAACTGCTCCCTACCTCGAGATTCCTGTCATCGCCACCGATAGAGGTGAGTTTTAAGAAACTTTATATTTACTATTACATTACGGATATTAAAAATTTCAAGAACGTCACTTAGATGAGTATCGACGTGGACTATATATCCTAGAAAGTTTAAATCCTATCATGATAATTTACGAGCGACATACACCAGTTAAGCCTTGTCAATTTGTTAAGCGATTTATCGAGCGCTTTTAGCGCTCCAAAGCGAGCAAGTTTGCCGAGTGTCTAACCAAAATAGGCGAACGCGACCTGGCCGTTGAACGCTGCGGGCGAACAATGCTTTCTTCCTGATGCTCGTATGTAGCTTTTATTCCTCCGCGTGCTCTCACACGGGGAACACGCGATCGGGCAGGTGAGCCGCACCGATACCAAAGAGAAAGAGAGGGAGGAAGACAGAGAAAAAGGATATGGAGAATACACGCAACGAAGAAGAAGAAGAATAAGAAGAATAAGAAGAAGAGAAGGAGGAGAATACGTAAGAGCAAAAGGAGCGAGGCGTGAGAGGTGGCTATCGCCGCGCCAACATCTAGTAGCCCTGTAATAGGCTTTATGATTTATGTCGCCGCTGAATTCTGTACACATTTTCAATGGAATACGTTCTTCTTCTTCTTATGGGAAAACGTACTGCTTAGCTTACCGTCGATCCCATTGATCGTAAGATGTCCTGGCGCTACGTAAGAACGACAAGCTTTCCTTTTAATCTTCTAAACTTTAAATTGCAAATATTTCTCCTTTTAATAATCACAAAATATTAAAACAATATTTTTTTCATGATATAATATTTCAATAGGAAAAAAATGTTAACGTTAGAAAAAACTTTTATATACGTGCTCGTTATATTGAATCTATGAGAAATATATCTATTCAAGTTCTCATTTTATAAATTAATTCGAACTATCCGTAATAGATATAATTATTTTTCCAGATATTATCGAATATTTAAAATCGAATCAATTACGAATTTTTATATAAATAATTATCGTTTTATTATTTCTTATCACTTTATGTAATAATGATTTTACATAACTATCAATGTTATACGTATCGATATGTATACTTGAATGTATGCGTTTAGTTCCAAGAAGGAGAAAGGACAGAAAGAAAGAGCAGAACACGAACAAACGGAGAGTCTGAGAAAGAAGCTGCACGTATCCCATTGTCGCAACTTCGCGCCGTTTTGCAAATAGGCACGTATGTATGTACTCGTAGCTCGTACCGTAATTGTCGCTCGTTATCGATACGATTGTCCGACGTGTGCACGCGCGCAAGTACTAGTAATGTCACACACATAGAGATCGAAGTTTGTGCCGGTGAACACGAGATACACAATAGAAAAGCGCCCGGATATGACGGCGATCTTCGTCGCGCGTAGGAACGTTCTTTGCGAGAAAGAGAATGAGAGGGGAGAAAGAGATATAGAGAGAGAATGAGAGGGAGAACGAGAGGGGAGGGGAGAGAGAGGGGAATGGACCGGTGCAGAGGCTGCGCTTCTTCTCGCGTGATTTATATCACCCACTGACGAAGCAACGTATACTTACCAACACTACTACTACTAGACATTACTACTTCTACTACCACTACTCACTACTACTACTACTATTACTATTACTACTACTACTACTACTACTACTACTACTACTACTACTACTACTACTACTACTACTACTACTACTACTACTACTACTACTACTACTACTACTACTACTACTACTACTACTACTACTACTACTACTACTACTACTACCACTACTCATTTCCGTCTCATGCTGTGTACTCTTCTTACCTTTCCTTCTCTCTCTTCGATCGCTCATGCTCCTGTTTGCTCTTAGCTACACATGCGAAAAGGTGTAAGACACTGATGCACATCAATTCCTCTCTGCCGATAGAATTTTCATTGATAGTAGAATTATCTATAATCTATACGTAGCTTTTGCAAAAAGATTAGAGAAATTTTTCCATCTTAGAAATATAAAATCGTATCGGATGTAATGTTTTATAAAGTAATTTTCTAAATTGTTTATTTCTTTTTTGTTTTTACATACAGATTTTTAAAAGACATCATTTATCTCTATAAGACTTTTCGAACATTCTATAAAATATTAAAACATTCTATCTCTATCGAAAATGACGAGAGAAAATATTTTTTTCTTTTTTGCGATTATGATCGTAAAAATTTCCAAGTTTTTCGTCATAATACTTAATCAAATTTATTCGATTATAAATTTTAGAATTTCATATAAGTCAATGGTTATCCAATGAAATTATATAGGTCAGTGTATTATTGCACCTGTTTTTATCGTACATTTATTTCCATAGGGATATATCTTTGGAATTTAAAAAAAAAAACAGGATAAATTTCGAACATAGACCATTTTAACAATATGTCGTAAATAATTTTTTTAAACTTTCTTTCGAACTAATAATATCTATTATGTAAATTATATACTTTATTTATTAATCTAAAAGATAATACAATAAGGAGAAATTGAAAGTCCGTATATATAAAGGAGATGCAAGATTGGTAATTAATGTTACTGATATAAAGATTCTAAACAAAGGAGGTATATATATATATATATATATATATATATATATATATATATATATTCGAAGTTAAAGGATATGATATGAACAGTCGAAAAAATGAACGTAGATCGTTGTTCTCGAGATTACGAGAACTAGGAAAGTTAACCTATTGCTTCTTCGACAATAATCGAGCGGAAAGGCCGACGATAAGTCGAAGCCGAGTCTCGTCTTGTATCTCGCGTTAATGGCGAAGGATAACGGTTGGATACGCGGTGGTGATCGATAATTATTACCTACGAACGAGCTTGCTTTGAATCACGCGCTGAGATCCGCACCATCGGAGTATCGTACACGCGCTTATAAGATCACCTCGAGGAGTGTGTTACTTTGTTTGGAGTTAGAAAATAGAGAGAAGAAAGGATAACAAAATAAAAAAAAAAAAAAAAAAAAAAAAAAAAAAGAATTTATATGAGAATTATATGTTATATAAATTAAATGCGAATCTTAATTTGTTAATAATATATTTAAAGCAATTCATGTTATTTTTCGATGAGAAAGTTATGCGATTATGTACATTCTCGAACGAATTTCATGCGAATAGTTGATTTTTTTTTCTTTTTTCCTTTTGAATATATATATATATTTTTTTTTCTTTTTCCTTTTATTTAATCATATATTCGTTCCTTGCGATTACTGTTTATTTCACTTCACATCGAAATCCTCTTATCGAGCCAAATAATGTCGGCGTAGAGAACGAAACTACGAGATTTACTTCGAGCAAAGTCGTCATAAATCACTAGAATCCTGCCTACCGTCGTACCTTTTTTCGAGTCCAATCAGCCGACCACTTTTTTCCTTCGTCTCACTTTCTCTATCACATTTACATATAAGTACTACTTCTTCTTCGACAGTTGGAAAAAATCCATTGAAGAGAAGCTTACAAAAAGAAAAAAAAAAAAAAAAAGAAACAGAAAGGAAAAAAAAAATATCTTATCTTAATGAAAGACGTTCAATGATAATGAAAAATCATATTTCCAATTGTACAACGTAAGTTGATAATGATCCACCAGTTTTGATTAATCGAAAACGATAACTTAAGAATGTCTCCTTAATCCAATTAAGAGGATTACCTCAGTCGCATAAAATATAAAGTGATAAATAATCCTTATCACGAGCGTATAATCATAGGTCGATTGCTTTGACCGTAATATGGAATCTTCTGATTATAGAAGAAGAGTGTCGCACAAATGTATATGTTTTTATGTGTATATATGTATATCTGTGTGAGAGAAAAAGAGAGAGAGAGAGAGAAAGAGAGAAATAAGGAGAGGGGTAAGTGTTAATATCAAAAGACAGTATGTAAATCGGGTAATCCGATGTTTAAACGGTTTACACCCGTAACTCATAGTAATGTATGGACTCGAGAGCTCGAAGGAGCTCCGAGCTGGGAGAAGATTTATAGGTACTAGTGTCATTGGAGTCATGCGTCAACGGGCAAGTCTTCTCCCTTTCGTCCCTCGAACCTTCGACCACCACAGTGTCTTCACCAGGGTGGGGAACCTTTTACTGGCAAAAAAAGAAAGAAAAAAAAAGAAGAAAACAAGCTGGCTTTTGCTCGCAAAAAGACCAACCAAATCTTTGCATTCTCTCGAATAACGAAGCGCGAGAGATCCTTCATCGAATTCTTAGAATAAAAAATATAAAGCTCGAACAAACAACGTGAATTAACGTTTAGCGGGATTTAATCTGTAATATGAAACTTCAAATGGTTTAATTGGAATTTTGTAATAATACGTTCATGCAGTTAATTGAAAAAATCGCAAGATCTTTTTACAAATCCCAAACGTACGTAGGATCAAAGGGCGGCAAAAGGGAATGGTTAGGTGTTTTCGAAGGACTCAGGGGTGTATCAAGTTCCAAGGCGAGTACATCGAGCACGGACACAACGACATCGGAGGTGACTTTATTGACACCGGCATCATAAATCTTCGAGACTTAACTCCCACCGCAGTTATTCTCGACATTGTCGTACTCGTATTTCTTCCCTCTCCTCTTCTTAACTTTGTGCGTGCACAATTCGGCGCATTCGTACTGAGCATGAAATTTTCTTACCTTGTAAAACGTTCGAACGAATGCGGGCGTAGAACAAGCTCAGAGGTTGCTAAAAACTCTAACATGAAACCATTATATCCTTTATAAAATTTCTTCATTCTATAGTTTGATTTAAGTTACATTTTCCATTGACATTGCGTGTACAATGATTATGTATTGCATATAAGATCACGAGGATTTACAATTTTTAAACGTTTTAAATTTAACTTTAAATGATTCAGAGTTTTTAAATATTACGAAGTTGAGCACCGCGTTTAAATATCGGCGATATAAATCAACCGTCGATGTCTTCGTATTCTTCTCCCTGTAGAAACCAACGAAAATGGACTCATCTCGGCGTTTGGCTGCGTGAAATTAAAAGGGCCAGTTTCGCGTGTATCAAAGTAATATCCGAATGTATAATACATCCCAATCGTTCCTAAATCCTTCTAAATGAAACATGGATATATTAATTATATCCATTAACAAAGTATTTTTCTTTTTGATTTCAGGTGGTCTTAGTACAATAGCAATCGTCCGCGTACAAATAACCGATGTGAACGACAATAGTCCGATATTTGAACCTCAGAAATATAACGTGACTTTAAGAAGCGATGCACCGTTTCAAGGGCCAATTTTAAGGGTAGTAGCCAGTGATCTCGATGCAGGATTATTTGGACAAGTTGCTTATAGAATAACCAGCGGTAACGAAGCTGGAATATTTCGGATAGATCGAAATACAGGTGAACTTCATGTTTCAAGGCCGAGTCTTCTATCGAGATCGGCTTTGCACCAACTCAATATCACGGCTACTGACGCAGCTGGCTTGAAAAGTACCGTCGATGCGGAAGTTAGGATAACGATGTCCCTTCCAGGACACAGGATAGCGACTTGCGAGAGACCACGTTACGTTCTCTCCGTTAAAGAAAACCAACCGCAAAGTACTGTCGTTGGAGGTATCAAGGACACCGTATCTACGTCATCTTTACCAGGTACGTTCAATGCTATGCCCCTTTTATACATTTTCATTTGTCCTTAACAAATTTGAAACTTATAAATATAGTTAAAATATATTAAGTTTTTCAATCAGTAATTAATTTTCTATCAAGAAAATGAAATCATATTTAACAAATACAGTTTTAAAGTTACGTGATATTATAGATGGTTAAACTTGTTCGTTCCTCTTTTGATTGCGTTTCTAAACGAATCACGTGAACGTTCAAGATTAATATTCCGTTATTTTAGATAATATCTGAAGAGTAAAAGAAAGAAAGAAAGAAAGAAAAAAGAAAAGAAAAGATAAGAAAAAAAATATGCAGCGCGCTATGCACGTAACTCGAGCGATCATCGTCTCAAGTAGTTTCCTCTCGTAATCGCCATAGCTCCGGGGGTCATCGGGAAGATCCAAGAATACTTTCCGTTCATAAAAGAAGTAATCTAAAAAGTTTTAGAAGCGCGTTAGCATCTTCTCCTCGAGCTAGGTCTCGCAAATACCACGAAAACGTATTCCACGCGCGGCGCTACCGCGTTAGCATAGTCGCGTCACGAGAGAGGATACGAAGAGGTCTGCGACGAGAACGATGAAGAGGAAGAGAGGAGGAGGAAGAGAAGGAGGAGGATGCGAGAACGCCTACGTGGCGATTCGGTATACCTACAAGCACGTGCAAAGCACGATACACTATCGTAGGAAAACGAGCTTGTGCTCGAGAATATTCTTCTCTTCTTCCTCTCCTTCGTTCTCCTCACTGTATAACATGGATACGATAGGAGAGGGAAGAGGTCTTGGTATGAGCAAACGGCATGTAAATCATACGAGAATATCTATTCAACGTGATAGCAACGTGGAACGCGTCGTAAGGATAACGCGCCATGCTCGTCACGGGTCTTCGTATTTGCATCGTGCCCACAGGATTCGCAGTTTTCCTTATTGGTAACGACCCCATTTTGACTTCCATTCGAGTAATTTAAGCTTGCATTGTCGTCCTACCTACGTCGGTCTGCGTCTCTTTCTTTCTTTCTTTCTTTCTTTCTTTCTTTCATTTTCTTTCTTTCTTTCTTTCATTTTCTTTTTCTTTTTATTTCAATCAACTAACTTAGAAAATCTGATGGATTGCCTGACTCAACGATTTTTTTTTTTTCCTTAATTTTCAAACTCGAACAAGTTAATTTCGTTCATAGGGATTATAGATTTTTAACGAAGAAACATCCTTGACTTGAGTTTTAAATCGATCGAATATTTAGGACCGAATGAAGATAGAGATAAATTTTTCATAGAAAATAATTTCATAAGGTAGGAGAAAGAATAAGATGACAAAAGGGATAAGGAATAAGTAGATGAGTAGATGAGTTGGTCCGTACTGATGTATCACGTAGGATTCGTAAAGCGGGTGTAGTGGGAGATGGGGGAGGGGTAAGAGGGGAGAACTGGGGGAGGGGGGAGGGGAGGTATAGGGAGTGAGGTACGTAAAGGAAAAGGTAAAGGGTAAAAAGGAGGGAGGATGAGAGGTACGTATCCGTGTTTCCACACTGGTGGTACATCCGATGCAAGATACGGCGCGTCACGACCTGCGCTCACCGCGCCATATACCCGGTGCACCGTGTAAAGTGTCTCGGCGTGCATCGAGCACGGCTTCACAGTACATTATAGTCCCGACAATGGTGGATAGTTTACACGGTGGTGCCTTACCGGTGGTGGTCGTATTGTTCGACCGCCATGGCCCGCATATGCAGACCTCTTGCATATCAATGCGAATACTTTTGCGAAAGAGGAGAAAGAGAGAAAGAACTATCCACCTTCCTTTCTCTCTCTCTCTCTCTCTCTCTCTCTCTTTCTCTTTCTTTTTTTTTTATTGAAAATATAACACAATTTAATAACGAAATGTGCTTTTCAAAACGAGTTTTATGGTAATGCTTCCTTTTAATTACTTCTATTTAAGAATTTTACGCAACGTTACGATCATTGGTATCGTTAATGATGAAATTTTTGCACGTTTATTCGAAAAATGCAATTCATGCATATTGAAACGAACACGTCTACCTAAAGTAAGTTACATTTACATTTTCTTTACCGAAACGCTTCAACTCTTGCCATTTAAGTAAGATCGTTCCATTTATCCACCGTTGCTGATATCTTCTGGATCGAATCGTCGATTTTAACCGATGATGAGACACACACTGTGTGAGAGAGAGAGAGAGAGAGAAAGAGAGAGAGAAAGAGAGAGAGAGAGAGAGAGAGAGAGAGAAAGGAGAAGAGGGCCACGCGTCCGTACAAGAACCTGTTCGTGCGAGAAGATGCGGCTCGGCGTGCGAGTTCGCAATATTTGACACACAGCAGCCAATCAGATTATCAGATTAAAGTTGAAGGGAGCCGGCGAACGTTTGTGCACTCGCGCACAAGGCACTATACTCAGACGCACCGCTTCGCATCGATGCTCACCAATCTTTTCCCCACCCATTTTACGACACCTGTTCCAATGAACACGAACTCGTTCTCCAAATGAAAGGAAAGAGAAAGAACGGAATGGGAAAAGTCTATATGATAAGGGACAAAGGAATATTGTTCGGTAAATTATCATTGGTCAATGTTTTGGAGGCTCAAATAATTTAAATCATCTTGAAATTATTGGGAAACAATTCGATTGTTTCGACTACCAACTAACGAAGAAAATAAAATAAAGGGTATTCTAGAAATGGAGAAAAACCGATGGCGATACTTGTCCCCTCGAGGTCGATACTTAAAAACACTTGGAAGTAGACGAAGTCCTTATTGGGTGCGTCGTTCGAACGGTGGACATGCCGGATACTGTATCCTTCCATAAAACCTCGCGACAAAATGAGGAACGGCTTTCATTTTACGGCCGAGTTTATAGCACCTCGAGAAAGAAGAGAGAGAAAATGATCGGTCCGTGATCGGTTGTAGATGAGAGGCCAGTCTTATCTTATCCTCGAAACGAGCGGCCGCTCCTAACTCCTTAGAAATTCTAAATGGTCACGAAAAATAGCGAGAAAATACGATAGTTTCTTTACGCGGACCGATTATTATCTGAGATGAATATACCTGGTACGGTTTATTCGAAAAATATCAGAGAAAAATCTCAATCATTCGGAAGAGTATTTTATACGATAAAGAAATTCTGACGTTCTCGAGTAAAAGGAATCATGATCGAATCCCATGACACCCATGACACGAAACAAGATCGATATGGACGTACACGACGATAGTTTGTCTCTTCTCTCGGATGTGCGAATCGAAAGCAACGAGAGGCTCCTTTCTCCGAATCGTTTCGGAGTACATCGGAAGGTACGATAACGACGGTAACAAGCGTCTTCGTTAAGGATATAACGTAATCGCATAACGATCGCTCTACTCGTATTCTCGCTTCGACGAACTTTCCCGTAACGATCGTAAGTCTCGTAAGAGAGTCGATCTCAAATCCATTCCATTTTCATCGTACTTTAAACTTCGCACATTATTTCTTCGAAATAGGAGGAGGGAAAAAAGAAAAAAAGAAAAAAGGATATAAAAGTAGTCCTCGCAAAATATCCTCTTTTATGTCCGTCTTGGTCGTTCGTGTTCAAAGTTCCCCGAGCTAATCGAAAATACTGGTTAAAATGGTGGCAACCGTCGAGGGCAAGAGATTCCATCCGAACTGGCAGTATTTCGTACTTTTCGGAGGCTGAGATTCTTCGTCCCAAGAGAATGCGCCTCGTGTGCTGCTGAAAAGGGTAGACGGAAAAGAGGAATAAGATGAGAAGAAGGTGCAGGACCGTCCTCGTCGTCGTCGTCGTCGTCGTCGTCGTCGTCGTTGTCGTCGTTGTCGAGGTCGCATAAATCGTCGCGAGTCGGATTCCGGGCAGCCGAACGTAAGCCGCCATTGTCCAAGACTTTTTGCCCCTCTCTTTCCACCATGAGAGAACTGCTAGCTGCTATGGAGCTGCACTCTTTGCATACGCTTTAAATATCGCCGCTCCGTTCGCCTTTGAGGTCCCTCAGCCTCACCGGATCCCTCTTCTCCTCCTCCTCCTCCTCCTCCTCCTCCTCCTCCTCCTCCTCCTCCTCCTCCTCCTTCTCCTCCTACTCTTTCTCGACGTGGAATGAGATACGAGGGATTGCCGATGTGAAACTTGACGATTCCTTTCGTGAGAGAAATTTCGACTTTAATCTCGTTTATTTTTGTAAACAATGTGAAAGTGTGAAGGTTTCATATCGTACGTCATAAAGAAAAAAAAAAAAAAAAAAAAAAAGAAAAAGAAAAACCGGTTCGTTTTAAGTTAAAGAAAAATTCTTATGATTTGCAATATTTATCGGTACTATTAATAAAAAATCAAATACGAACAAGTTTCTTTTCTTTTTTCACGATCATGCGCACGACATAGAAATTTCTCAACTCGAATATTCATGTCGATCACAGTTATTATCTTTCTCTCTTGTATCTTCGTAAATTCCACGATAGCGAAAACGTCGTAATATAATTGAAATCTCGTAGATCGAGCCGATTGCGTATCGATTGCGATCGGTAACAATAACATTAACGACAAATATATCTATCAGAAAGCGATTCCGTTCCTCTAATTGGTTGTTCATGCCGACACGAGGAGTAGGAAAAAGGGTTTGGGAGAATGCTAGGCGGAGATAATTATTTCGACACGATCAGAACCTTGGATCCTTCTTCTGGATTAATGCTGATTGTATTAGCACCGTTTTATATTCCGAGATAATTTTAATTCCATGACAAGAGACATTTCATTTATTTATCGCATCTCGTAAAAGCTCGATCCTTTTTTACCCTTCTAACCTGATGTACTTAAGTCTCGTCATCTTACTGTCTTCCATGAGAAGGAGTGAGATAAAACGAGATCCTTTTTTTATCGAATTTCTTTTGTACTGATAAAAAAGAGACGGACGATCGAGTCTCCTCTCTTCGAAATTATTTATACGCGACATATCCTTTCGTTCGTTTTAACGATCACTATAAAGATCAAACTACGTTTT